ACTACTGCCAGATCAAGTAACAACAGCAGTGCTAACCTTCCTCAGTCCAAGTGTCTCCAGAGGTCATCCATGAAGGCAGCCAGTGCAGTCTCCATCCCATAGCCAGGGTAGAAGCCGGACTGAAATGGATCCAGGGTAGAGGTGTCATCCAGGAAGGCCTGAAGCTGTTCCACTACTGCTCTGTCAACTACCTTACCCAGAAACAGGAGGTTCCACACTGGGAAGTAGTTGACTGGGGTGGTTTCTTCAAGAGTGGTCTCACCACTGTCTCCTTTAAAGACCCTGGGAAAGTCCCTGAAAGGGATATATTGATAATATTTCCCAAGGGGACCCGTATGCCATCACTGCCGGCCTTAACCAGCGATGAGGGATATGGGTCTAGGAGGCAAGTGGCAGGCTTCACAGCAGCCAGGAACCTGTCAACCTTGTCCTGCGAGAGTCAACTAAACTGGTCTAATATTGGAACTGAGGACAGCCATGGAGCCTCCAGTCTATATCCCTGTGATAAGTTATCCCATAATTTCATATTTCAAAATCTGGGAAGAGGCTACAGCCCTTGTAAAGAGTTAAGCAACTTGTATTTAGTGATCTTGTGAACAACACATTTTAGGAGTGTCATTCTAACCCACACTACAGGACTGGAAAATAGTCTGGAGTGGTAGTTCTTGCTGAAAATCCTGTAAAGTTGATTCTTTGAACTGAAAGACAGAAACCGAGTGTTCCTTCTGTGAAGGGGGAGGGGACAACTGCCCTAGACTGCTTCTGCCATACCTATGTATGCAATTATCCATGAAGCAACAAACAAACAAACTAGTAAGATGTGATCCTGAAAAAGAAACCCACATTACTGAATATTGCCAATTATCGTGATCCCTCCCAAATTCTCATCACTTTTTCTGCTGCTATGATTTAGTGGAATACCAATGGGCACTTTTTTTTTTTATAACCTCCCTTCTTTCTTCTTTCATAACAAAGATGCTCAGGGCAATATTTTTTTTCATCTGCAGTTTCCCCAGATCTTTCTGTTTTCATTGTAGAATTCTTTATAGTAATTGCTTTAATTTGTTCTCATTTTAAGAGGCAGCAAAAGCTCCTGCAGCTTGTGTAAAAGCAGAAGCACAAGGCAAACAATTAAATTCTTTCATCTTCCTTTATGTCAGTCTGTTTTATCCAAGTTTTTGGTGAAATGCCTTTCATTGCATCATGGCACCATCTACTGGATTATGCAGGAGTATATGCACTTTAGCTCTCCGTCAAGTAAAACTCACATGTAGGTACTTTGTACTGAGTGTCAGGCCATTTGGCCCCATCTTGCTGAGAATTATTTACTGTCACTTGCAGCTGTAACTCAGGGTCTCGGGCAGAGGTGCCTTTCCCAGTGCGATACCAGGGCTTGCGTATAGGATGTTCTGTGTGCAGTGTATGAGGGCCACCACCAAACCACAATCGTAAGGCTCCTTGGCTCAAGAAACTAATGTGTTTCCTAATGGAATTGAGGCAAGGAAAGGCAATTTAGCTAGAAGGAACATAGTTAGAATTCCAGTTTCTCTGGCAACTCTAGAGCCGCTAGGGTTGCCAGCCTCCAGGTGGGGCCTGGAGATCTCCCACTTTTGCAACTGATCAGAGATCAGCTCCTCTGGAGAAAATGTTTGCTCTGAAGGGTTGATTCTGTAGCAATTGTACCATGCTGAGGCCCCTCCCCAAACCCCACCCTCTCCTTGATCCACCCCCAAAGTCCCCAGATATTTTCCAAAGCAGACCTGGCAAGCCTAAGGGTAGCAAGACTATATGGGAAAGGGGACACATGTCACAGGGATGTCTGTTCTTCTGTCATCCTCTGCTACCTGCAGTGTAGTGGGACCCACATCCTACTTTCAATAGCGAATGTCTGAAAAGTGCAGGAGGAAGGGACCTCTGCACTGTCCCGTGTCATAATTTCATAATCAACTGATAAGTGTTTGTTCCTTCTGACATTTGTACTGGCCAGCATAAGCTTTCAAGAGCACACAGAGACACTGACCACAGAAAACAAGGGGCCTCACCACTGCCCGTCCCTCAAAGCTGCAGTCATAAGAGTCGCAGTCACTTGGTAAAGCAGCTGAAGTACAGTCATTTTTTATTCACTAGTATCCTACAATGGAAAAAAAAGTGCTTTAAAATTTATTCAAAGAGTATTTTTGAGATTTAGCTTGTGGTGGTGGAGTAAATAAATGCTTAAAATGCATTCATAGCTGTTGGAGGATAACTGTCTATGGCAGGAAAAATACTCAGTGGGTGCGTTCAGATGGGCTGTTTAGTCCGCTTTCGGCCCTCCTCAGAAACAGATTTTATCTGTGCGATCACACGGTCAACATCTGCCTCCCATCCCCAGCTGTCACTTTCTGGCTCAAAACAGCTTTAACCCAGAGTATTTTGATACCAGGTCCCCAAGTGGTGTTTTCCATGTTTATCTATGGGTGCGTTCAGACGGGCAGTTTAGTCCGCTTTCAGCCCACCTCAGAAACACATTTTGTCTGCGCAATCACACGGTCAACATCTGCCTCCCGTCCCCAGCCGTCCGTTTCTGGCTCAAAACAGCTTTAACCCGGAGTATTTTGATACCAGGTCCTCAAGTGGTGTTTTCCTGATTCTCCGGCTCCAGCCGCATTTTTTACCTGTGTGATCGCGCCTCCGGTGTCGAGCCACTTCCTTTTTAAACTGCTTTAAAGCTGCCCGAGGCTTCCGCTTTTCGCCCGCCATTTTTAAAAAGTGCTACAGTAGTCGGGTTAAAATGGAAATCGCTGTTCTGCGCAGGCGCAAAACTTTTAGTTCCACAGATGGCTGCCTGTGCGCATGCCCAAAATGAGAGAGAGAAAAAAACAACAGCGCAGCGATCCGGAGCAAGGAGGTGAGTGTGATCGCGATTCTCCAGGTTAAAAAAGACCGCATCAGGGCCGGAGCAATTTAAACCGCTCCCAGCACGCCGTCTGACCGCACCCAGTGACTCTTGTAGTTATATGCTTTTTCTCATTTCCCAGAATAGGCATATCAGAGTATAACTACATCTTATTCTTATGTCAAGTTTATTCTCGTGTCACGTTCTCTCCACGTCAAGTGTAAAAATATTAACCTCATGGCCTTCTGTCATTGTGATGAGGCCTCCACCATCAGCAACTTGTGGAGCTGGGACAGATGATTGCACATGGTCACTTTAAAACAAGTATACATTATGAGAATCTTAAGCATCTGAGGTCAGAACAAACCATTTTCAGAAATCAGAAGATGAAAACTGGGGGTAGGAATATCCAATGTTCCCTCTAACCTGTGGAGCCTTGTGAGCAAAAATTCTACCTTGTGAGCTACTGGCATTAAAGTTGTGAGCGAGCTATTTGGCTACTGGATAAATTAGTTTACTCTGGAGCCATCCTTCCTGAGCGGAGACAAAAATGTGTGAGCCAGAGGCTAAAAAACTGTGAGCTAGCTCACACTAACTCAGTTTAGAGGGAACACTGGGGATATCCCTCCAAACATAAGACACCTTGGTCAGGAGCTGTCGTATTGATTCTGGGGCCTTGAGCAAAGCTCCAGGATGAGGTCCCAGAATCACTGTCCCCCAAGACCCCCAGAAGCACCTGGCCCCAAGTGGGGTAGAGCCTTTGACCAGTGCAAGGCAGGTGGGAGTGCCCGCGGCAAGCTAGCATCCACCTGAGCACCAGATCACAAGCAGCAAGTGCAAGCAGCTGTTGGGAGCAGCCCAAGTGTGACAACCACACAGACAGATGTGAGCACTCATGGTGGCAGTGATAGTGGGTAGGCATAGGCAGCTGCCCTAGCTCCCACTGCTGAGACTGACTGAGTGGGCAGACAGGCAGGCAGGCAGGAGCAGGCCCTGAGGCTCCAGACCCACAGAAGCCTGTTGTTTCTTTCTCCCTTCTGTTGGAGGGGGGGTTAGGAAGGTCAGTGGTGGTGCTCTTTCCAGGTCCAGTTTTGTTGCTCAGACTGCTCCTGATCTCTATGTGCCGCAGGGTGGCATCAGGGCAACGGTGAGCAGCAAGGCTGTCAGCAAAGGGCCCCCACCACTCTACAGCTGATTGCCCCGGCTGCTGCCCTAATGATCCCACCATCTGTTGCCGCTCCAGAGGAAGGAGACGAGACGTGGGCCATGTTAGCACCATGGCTGCTGAGTGGTCAGGGTGTTCTCCAGCGTAGTCCCCCCCCTTCCAGCATGTGGCCCAGGTCAGCAGCCCCTTGTCTAATACTGCCCCTTGCCTTGGTAGCACAGCAGAAAATCACTGCAGGCATGTTTCTTATTTCTTATTTGCTTTACAAAAACAAGTTCTTCTATTTTGAATTGTATTTTCTTTCTGGTAATACAAAACCAATACTTAAAACATGTTCAGGGGTTCTAGTTCAGATTAATGAAAACATGGCTACTTACTGTTTACACTTTGAAACTATACTGTGATATAGTCATGATAATTTTTTATTTTATTTTTTTGGTTACCAAGACATCTGTAGCAGCCTGGCCTGTAGTAGATAGAAAACAATCTATATCTGCCATTTTTTCTATAAATGCTTACCAATATTTTGTTTATCAGCTTTTTTGTGTTTGTAAACTGTTTGTCTGTGCTCAGGAAAATAAAATTATTCTGATATCCTTCCAGTTCATGTGCTTACCTGCACTCAAGTAAACTATTATGTCAAATGTAATCATTTTATTCCATTGATAGCACAGCAAACAATCTCTGCAGGGCTGCAGATGCACACATTTCTTCATTCATGGCCTATAAACCCTTGATTTACAAAATGAAGCCCTTTCATTTTAAACTATGTTTTCCCTCAATGATTCAAATGTGTTCAAAGGATTTTTTCCCCCCTGGCTTTTCTCAGATGAGTGAAGACATGCTTCAGTAGAATTGTATCTGCACTATAAAGCAATTACTATTTACACTGTAAAACTCCACTACAATAGATTCATTGTTAATAAATGATTTTATCTTTTTTCCCTGATTGTTGTTTAGTTTCCAAGACACCAGTGCCAGCGAAGCCAGCAGAAGCTAAGCCTGCAGCAGGTACAGGAATACTGTAATATTTGCCTATAGAGTCAGTATCCGGAATTATCAATAATAAGTAAGAATTAATATAAACATTGGGACAAAGTATTCTGCGTTTGGACACAGAACTTGCTACAATAAATAGATCAGAAACTTGTGCTCTGGTCCTCAGTTAATATAGACACTTTGAAGTACAATGTCTGTATGACTGTACTTCAAAAAGAATACTGAATATGTTCAGATGGAACAGAAAGATCTGGCCTTATTCATTTAAAATATGTCTTAATGGTTTAAAGTGAATTAAGAAATTAAAATGAAAACTTAACTTGGAGATACATAGATATCTAAATAAGGATTCACCACTTGGAATTTACATCAAGCAGCCAATTTGGAAACATCCAGAGAGATGGTTACCATGGGAACTACATTTCCCATGTTCCTGTAAACCCAGGAAATTGCTGTAGATGCTTGCAGCAATTTCTAGGGCGTAACAGATTGCTTAATGTTGTGCCTACTTTGGGCCTTCCCAAATGTTTACAAGCAAGCATGGAAAAAGGTGGTGTGTGTGTGTGTGTGTGTGTGTGTGTGTGTGTGTGTGTGTGTGTCTGCATGCAAGGGGAATTTAGATACTGCAGAAATTGACTCAGTCCTCACTGGACTGAATTTGTGCCTTGGTTTATTTAGCTGAACGCCTGTTTCCCCAAAATGCTTTCTGTTGAGCACCTATCATTATTTCAAATAGCTTTGAAGAACTTCCTTTTGAAAATGTGCTTCAGGTGTTTATAGGAGCTGCTGTAATAATAATTGATTGCTAAAATGACATGATTCATAGTTCCCAACAATAATACTGTGTTAATAAAAATGATTCTTGAATAACATTTCTGTATGAATCAGGTAGGGGGAGCAAGATAACTATGGAAAGAAATTGGAAGCAGTTCTGTGCATGCCATGAGAAATAATTTTCATCAAAGCTAAAGAAATGGTGTTGACATTTTTATTAAAAATGTAATTTTATTTGCTTTATGTTTCCTTGATAATATCAGCTGGGTAAAAATGTGCCTCTTACCAGACACATTCCCAGATTGTTGGAAAATAATGGCTTTGTACTTATGAAAAATACTTAATTTTTATATTGTCTCTTGGCAGCAAAGCCACCCACATAACCACATGTCAATGTGGATGCTTAGCTGAATGCCAGTTGTAGCATACTGAGCTGTGAATCAGCATGCCCTGGGCTGAAATCTTGCCTCTGCTATGAATTGACGCAGTAATTTCAGATAGACAACTGTATAGAAGCATCCCATTGCAATATGGGGATGATGTTTCTTTTTGCTCTTACAAGGCTGTTGTATATGATGCAACTTCCATTTGAAGATGTTACATAAATTATTAGTAATAGTACTAGCTGATTTCAGTATCTTATTTAACTAGGAAAACAGGTTTAACTGATTTATCTATATGAAATTGCATTCTGAAAATAATATGTAAAGTATTGAATAAGAATCAAATTGACCACTAAATGTGCCATTTATTTTGGTAATTTCTAGTGATGTAGTTGATGTTTGGAATCGAGGACTTTGGTGAGCAAATGTTCTATGTTTGAAATTTCGAAGTTAATTTTGAGCTAAGCCAAGTCACTCTGAAGTTTGGGCTCAGCTCATAATTAACCTAGCTCCAGTTCCTGCACAAGCCCTCCCCTCCAATGACATCATCCCAGGCCCTTAGCTACAGTGGGGCATTTCGGGGCCCAGCCCCCTGACTTTCCACCAGGGGCCCCCAACTTACCAGCCTGGCCAGCCCCCCGCCGACTTATTTCTTGCACTCGCTGCCCTATCTTTAAATGGGAGAAGCAGGGGGGGGGCTAACACACACCTGTACTCTAAGCGAATTTCAGTACCTCCTCACTTTTTTAAAGGCCCCCCAAATTAAGAAATCCTGGCTACGGGCCTGCATCATCCCCTTCTTCTGTCATTCACCACTGAAACTTACGTGACAAGAATAGCACTAATGAGAAAAGCGTCCTTTGAAGCTATGGTCAGCTGAGAACTGCAGTTAACTGCAGGAGCACTGAGAAACTACCATCAATAGGAACAGTAAGAAAAAAGACTGAGATCTGTTGTTACCTAGACAGCAGTGAGCCCTGCATGCCTTTGGCCTTCAGACATATGCTCCCCATTCACTAGGTGAGAGATCTGTGAGTCTTGTTTTACATGAACAGAAAACTCAGCACAGTATGTCAGATAAAATTGGTGGCAACAGTGGGGGGGGGACAGAGACAATAGCAGGTTTTCATTATTCATTGAACATTTAAAAATGACAAATAAGAGCAAGAAAAGTAGTTAAGTTAAGTAGCCTTTATTGGCATGGAAAAAAATTGATACAAGTTATACAGTTTACAAGGTAAGTTAAAACTGCAACGTACATATACATCAATGTAAATATAAGATTTTTTCTGTGAGATCCCTTGGCGTACCTTTATAGCAGAGTAAAGAAATTTAGCCACCTTCTCGGTGACATTAGAGGAGAAATCATTCAAAAGTCTATAAACCTTAAATGCATCAGAACAGTCCCTCATCCTAACTAGAACAAAATGTAAATGCATATATTAATCTGTATACAGGTGACAATAGAGAAGAAAAGTAGACAGATTGGAAAACTTTTGATTACTAAATTTCAGGAATTACTATGCTACAAGTAACTGGATGACATATTTAATTTTTTGTTATTTTTGTATGGCATTATGTGTAGAATAGCCACGAGATCCTAAGATTGTTTGGCAGCCAGAAGTTACAGCTCTTTAGTGTTATGTACCTCTAGGTGGTGAGTTACACTTGTTTTTAAGGTAAGATATGTTTCAGAGGTGGTTTGACATTACCTGCCTCTGTGTCACGACCCTGGTATTCCTTGGAGGTCGCCCTTCCAAATACTAGCCAAGGCAGACCATGCTTACCTTCTGGGATGACATAAAGCATGTGGGGAATAAGCAATAAGAAACAATTCAGATGTTTCCTATTGGAAGTCAACCCTGTTATACTAGATGTGTCTTCCCTCAGTTCAGTCCAATTATTTGTATTTATTTCATTTATTTATACCCTGGCTTTCTCCCCAGTGGGGACCCAAAGCAGCTTACATAATTCTCTCCTCTGTTTTATCCTCACAAAAACTCTGTGAGGTAGGTCAGGCTGAGAAAGTGTGACTGACCCAAAGTCACCCAGCAAGCTTCCATGGCATGAGTGGGGATTTGAACCTCGGTCTTCCAGTTACTAGTCCAACACTCTTAACCACTATACCTTATCCTCTAAGTTGTTACAGTTGTAGAGTGTCAGTAGGGCTACCAACCTCCAGGTGGGGGTGTGAGATTTCCAAAATTACAACTGATCTCCAGACTTTGAGATCAGTTCTCCTGAAGAAAATGGCTGCTTTGGAGGATGGACTCTCTGCGATTATGCCCATCCTGAAGTCCCTCCCCAAACCCCACTGTTCCCAGCCTCCACCCCAAAATCTCCAGTAGTTTCCGAGCCCTGAGTTGGTAACCCTAAGAGTCAGTGATGAAGGTGCAATTTTAGGGATTATGTTGAATTTACTTTTGCTGTATCTGGGTTGCTATTCCTATACAGTTTTTACCTGGGTCTGTACCAATGAGGCCACAATTCATTGGCTGTACTTTTGGATCCTATTTTCTATTGGGCCAGATTTTAGGATCCTTGTTGCCACTGGAGAATTCAGAGTTGCTCTGTGACTGAAGCAATATTAGAATCAGATTTCCCATTGGAGAAAATGTTAGCATTCAAGCTGTAATGGGAATATTTGAACTTTTATTTGTGTGAGATGCTGATGCGTACCTAGGTGAGGTAACTAGGTCTTCTGTGTGTTGGGTAGGTGCTAATGGAGTAAGAAATTTGAGTAAATTTCTAGGTGAGCATTGAGCCAGGAAATAGTTTTAGGATAGATTTCTAGTGGGACCTACAATGTAAGGGGGATTCCTGAATAGTCCAAAAGGATATGTTATTGTCTTGCAAGCCCTGATAATTACATATAGCCAAAAACTGATGAACCTCAAAAGGTTAAAGGATGGATCCATTGAATAGGCTGATTCATGGTTCCCATGAGAACCAGGCTTCTTAGAATGATGTGAATTCCTTGACCTTAATATGGCCCCATACTGGTCTGAGAAGAGACTTGGTTTCAAAAAACAACCTTTCTGACCATACAGGTGTTGGGGTGTATCATGGTTGAGTCTCTTTTACTTTATAGAACTGCACAAGAAGAACCAATATAAATTGTTATTATGGTCATATCTTTTTCTTGTTGTTTCCTCTAAACTTTCTGATATAGTACTGTTCAAAACATGTAATGATCAGCTATGTTTCCTTGTGTGTATATTTTTAGTGAAACAACCAAAGAAGGAAGTACCTGTAAAAGAAGCTGGTAAGAGCATGTGTAAAGTTTATTACAGAAATAAACTTTCCTAATTTAGCTTTAATGTAAATGAACTCAGTACTATGGAAATGAGTACAGAAATAGTTATTATGCTCATGTCTTTTACTTGTTGTTTCCGCTAAACTTTCTGATATAGTACTGTACAAAACGTGTAATCATTAGCTATGTTTCCTTGTGTGTATATTTTTAGTGAAACAACCAAAGAAGGAAGTACCTGTAAAAGAAGCTGGTAAGAGCATGTGTAAAGTTTATTACAGAAATAAACTTTCCTAATTTAGCTTTAATGTAAATGAACTCAGTACTATGGAAATGAGTACACAACACTACTGATAGACAAATGTATTAAAATGTAGGAAATGGCTAAGGATGGTGGTAGCTTATTTCCCCCCACTTTGAGATCCTTTGGCCACTGGGTCAAAGCTAGATAGGTTAAGTTAGATAGGATCCACAGCCATAGAACATCTATATGGGCAGATTTTTGAAGGAGTATTAATTATATAGTGGTGATGTTAACCTGTACATGCCTAAATTGCTTAGACCCAAGCTACATGATGACAAGGTACCTCTACCTGTATATATTGGCTGATGCTCTGAGACTGGCTGATTGGTTTATTGCTGGCATGCCCTGTCTGACAAACCCAATCATTGGGAACCTGTGTGAGGGCTTTATCAGCAGCCCCACTACCCTCCCTTCTTATACTGCAGACAGTTCTTTCTCTGGAGGTCTTCTAACATTACTTGAATTTTATTTTTTATTCTGGAAGACCTATTTTAATTACATCTTGTCAGGGTGAGTTCTCACTGGTTGTTATTAACCATTTTAACAGTTTTGTCTGCATTATAGTATTGCAAGCAACCTTGAATACTTATTTTAAATAGAAAGGTGGTGTATAAAAGTTCTAACAAATAAATAGATAATTATATAGCTGCAGCATGGAAAGATGCAAATGAATGGTTTTCAGTATGGCTCTTTGTGTTCCATAGTTGACAACACCTGCTTTAAATTAAGCTATTTGCAACTGAGTAGTAGCAAACACCCAAGAAGATAGAATTAAAATTCAACAAGACCTGAATACTCTGGAGAAGTGGGCAGTTGCAAACAGGATGCAATTCAACAAAGATAAATGCACAGTATTACATCTGGGCCACAAAAATGTCAAGCACAAATACTGGATGGGGGATACATTTCTGGGGAGTAGTGTATGCAAAAGAGATATTGGGGTAAGGGTGGACTGTAAACTAAATATGAGCAGTCAGTGTGATGTGGTGGCAAAAAAGGCAAATTCAGTCTTGGGTTGTATTAAAAGGGCCATAGCATCGAAATCGCAGGAGGTCATAGCCCCTCTGTATACTGCCTTGGTCAGGCCGCACCTTGAGTACTGTGTGCAGTTCTGGAGGCCTCACTTCAAAAAGGATGTGGACAAAATTGAGAGGGTGCAGAAGAGAGCAACGAGGTTATCAGGGGTCTGGAGACTGAGCCCTACGAGGAAAGGCTAAGGGAATGTTTAGTTTGGAGAAGAGAAGGCTGAGGGGGGACATGATTGCTCTCTAAATATTTGAAAGGCTGTCATTTGGAGGAGGGCAAGGAGCTGTTCCAGTTGGCAGCAGAGGATAGGACTCGAAGCAACGGGTTTAAATGACATGCAGGAAGGTATCGGCTGGATATTAGGAAAAACGTTTTCATGGTCAGAGTGGTTCAAAGGTGGAATCAGCTGCCTTGGGAGGTGGTTAGCTCCCCTTCACTGACAGCTTTCAAGAAGAGGCTGGATGAATATTTGTCAGAGATGCTTTAGGCTGGTCCTGCACTGGGCAGGGGGTTGGACTAGATGGTCTGTAGCCTCTTCTAACTCTATGATTCTATGATTGATTTACTAGTGAACCTTCTGGTCAAAGCACTGAAGGAGAGGATTATGGGTTTGTATCAATGAATCTTGGCCAGTGACCAAGGTTCAACATGTGTGTTTGCAGACACATAGCCCCCTCCTTGCAGAGACTTTGCAGTTCTCTTCCTTGGTGGTGTAAATGCTCCACAACCACACTGCATATTGTCTGTAGTTGGGGCATTCCTCCTCTTGTAAAGAAAATATCAAGCTGACTCCAGCACAGTACTCTCAACTGCAACATTTGTAATATATTGGAATGAATCATAATTTTTTCTAATTGGAAAAAAAAGATTCTAAAAAACTGTGTTTTTTAAAGTAATGCTAGACATCAACACAGCAAAATATATGTGAATTGTATATACTTCAAGCAAGGAGTAAAATATTTTACACAGGAGGGAATTTTGAAAAAGAGATTAGAATTGTAGTAGAATAGTACCGTCTAGGGAGGCAGGTTACAATTGACTAGGATTGTAGTCCACTGCAATGATTATTGAATGTATTACATGCTTTTAGTGCATTGTCATATACTTAGTAATCTCCATTCTGTATTGCTTGCCTTGCCTTAGATAGGGTTTGTGGTGTTATTTTTTTTGCATTTTCTCTAATTTTGTAAGCCTAGTCCTAATGCATTGTTCATTGGTATTTCTTATGCTGTTTGATTGCACTGCTTTATATATTATAATCCTCACTGAGGATCAGTGAGAAAGTTAGACTACAAAGTAAATAAAATAAGTTAAAGAACAATATGTCAGACTGTTTATTATTTGCTATACCTTTGCACTAGTCATAGAACATCACAGCATATTTTCAATTTTTATTATGTTTTGCAGTAACCATAGAAGCTCATAAACAAAAAGGTAGGTCCAAATGTTAATATTTTATGTCATAATTGAAATCTGAGTTTATTCTTAAAGGTCTTAAAAGGCACATTCTATTAGCCCTTTTATCCTCTCCATACCCTCTTTTATACAGTAGCCCTGTTCACAATACAGTGAACATACATACAATCAGGGGTCATTTCGTAGAAAAAGAGCTAGGGGAACTCATTAGCATAACTCATTAGCATATGCCACACCCCCTGACATCACCGGAAGTGTGTCATAAGGCCACACCCCCTGACATCACTGGAAATCTGTCATAAGGCCACACACCCCGCCCCCAACGGTACCGGCTGCCACCACCGGCCTTGCAGCTCCACTGCCGAGCCCCATGAGGGGCCCGGCGGTGGACCTGCAAGGCTGGTGGGAGTGCAAGGAAGCCCCGCGAAGGCCCTCCCTGGCCCTAGGCAGGCAGGGGTGGGAAGAGGCAGGGAGGAAGCAACTTACCCTCCCTCTTCTCCTGCCTCCTCCTGACTGAATGAGGGCCGGAAGCAGGGCGGCCGGAAGCAGGGGGCGAGGCTTCATCATGTGCCCCGCCCCCACGTACCTCACCCGGGGGAACTGCATTCCCCCGCGTTCCCCCCTGAAATGACCTCTGCATACAATCTACCCCTGTTCCCTTATTGTTTGGTTAAAGCATTCATTAGCCACCTTTCTACCTTATAGGAACTCAAGGCAGTTTACAATGTAAATGCAATACAATACATAAAATACATTAAAACCCCTAGTTGAAATCAATAATTTAGAACTACCAGTAGGCAGAAGAACTAATTGAATGCACCAGTTTAGAGCATCAACAGCTTCCTTGGTCTTAGGTGGAAAAGAAAGGTAGAGCTGCATATCATCTGCATATTGTTGCTCCTTCAACTCAGACCTCTTGATGGTCTCTCCCACTGGCTTCACCTAGATATTAAACAGCATGGGGAATAAGATCAAACTTGCAGAACCCCATAGGCAATGGCCATGGGGCAGAGAATAAATCCCCCAGCACCACCTTCTGAGGCCAGTCTCCTAGATAGCATTGAACAACTGTAACATGGTGCCCATTTGTCCCAGCGATAAGAGGAAGTCCAGTAGGATACCATGGCTGAATTACATTAGAACTCAAAATAAATCAGGTTGCTTCATTAAAGTTGAAAATATCATAAACCCATGTAGTAGCTAATCACTCAGTAGTCAGCAAAAGCCTGTCCAATTTTCAAGACAGTTGTCAATGAATTGTTGTCAACTTTAATGAAATAACCTGATGCATTTTGACTTCTAATGTATTCATTCCAGTAGGCTTGACCTTTTCCGCTAGTGTGTAACTTATTTCTTTAAGGAAGTTTCTGAACCACTAACTTCCTTCAGATGAAGATATTCTTTGAAATGGGATTGTTAACCGGCTGCCCATATCTTCTTGTTCTTCCTGATCTTCAGTTGTTATTTACTTGCATTTTCCCTGAATTTATTTGTATTATTTTTAAGACACATGGTGTCTTTATTACTTGAGACTATAGATTCTCATGTATATTATTCAACTGTTTTGTGTACAAATTAATTTTTAAATAGGGATCTTAATGTTGAACATGAGAATTGAATATAAATGATTACATACAGTGGAGGTTTTAATAGTTTATTTAAGCTTAAGAGATTTGTACAGCTTATTTGGTAAATTTTCTAAAACTTTCAGTAGTTGACTTAATGATCTCTCCATGACAAGGCACTAAGGTTTAACCTCCAGTTCACCCTCTTTATCAGCAAAGTAGATCAAATCCAGTGTGTGCCCTGCTAAATGTGTAAGACCAGTAATTACTTGAGATAACCCCATGGTTGTCATAGAAGCCATGAAATCCTAAACTATTCCTGACAGCTTGGTCTTGGCATGGATGTTGAACTCACCCAGGACTACCAATTTTAGGGTCTCCAAGTAAATGCACACACATTCTGCCTGTACATGTGTACATCTGTTTGTAACAAGGAGCCAATGCATGTTCACCTTACAAATGAAGCTGGAGGCCAGTACCTGAATAAATGTTTGGGTTTTTATCACACATTCAGTTGTACATGTATGGAAAATAACATGAGAATTGCTCAGTGGACATGCAAAGAACGATTAAGTGTACACTGTACACAGAATGTATGTGTTTTCACTGTAACTTATAAACAGGGCTTCTGTGTACAGCATACAGTTGACTATTCTTTATACATACATAGATTAATTATCACGTTGCATGCACACACGTGCAGTTGAATGTGTGATTACAACCCCATATTTATCCAAGTTCTGGTTGCTTGTTTCATTTGCAAAGTGAGTGTGCGTAAGCTCTCTTACAAACAGGTGTACATATGTACATGCAAGTTGTATGTGCATGCACCATAACGTTCACAGGGCTAGTGCCCAACTCACTGTTAGCAGCTCTTGTATAAACAAAGAGCTGTGCATATTAAAAAGTGCATGTAAGGAATCAGCTAGATTGGACTCTATGCCTCCATATTCATTTCTGAATATGATGCACAAAGGTTTCTCCTCCATTGAAGTGATTACCGAAGGCTGTGTTATGTACTGGTGTTCAATTGAGGGTCTGGAATGGAGCTACTGTATTCAAAGGATTTGATCTGGAAAATTGCAAATGTAGCTGAAATCTTTTGAGGTTCCAGGTCATATTTGGGATGGAGAGGCTTGGCCAGCCTTATACTGCCCCGTTTAAATGGACCACTAACACACAGTTTCTTTGGAAATTAGGTGGATAAAATTGGCCACAACTTTACTGGTTACAGCTGTAATAGGCATTGGCAAAGCATAGGTCCACCGGATCCGACCCGTCGGCTAACCTGTCTGCCAGCCGAGGTATCCGTTACCCAGCCAGCCAACATGGGTAGAGACTGCGGGATGGCAGGTTGCCGGGGTTCACCTGGATGCCTGCCACTGTGTGAACTCCCCTGCCACCTCATGGTGAGGGCAATCGCTGTTAGTCCTTGCATTTGCTTGCTCCCTTCAGCCCTCACGCCAAGACCCTTAAAGGGGTCCCCACCTCTGGACAATGGCACGCAGGCCAATTTCCGTCAAACGGATCCAGACCCATGCTGTCACTGCCACAAGAGCAGGATGAACCCCTTGGTCCTGCTCCTACCAATGCCCCTACAGCTGTAGCCAAGAGAGGAGGGAATAATGGACCCCATGTAGCCAGATGTCCATACCCCAAACTGATAGGTGCACTTCGTCTGCCCGGAACAAGGCTTCCATCCTGTGGGAGATGTCTGGGTGGTCTGGTGGGGATGGTGAGTGGCTTGATTCACTTATAAACAGGCCTCCCCTTCCCAACCACCCTGCTGCCTGGCCATTGGCCTGGGGAGGGACAGAAGGCATCTACCTTCCCGCCACTCGCCCAGCCCCACCCATCCCTGACCCAGCGATTGGCCACCCTCTTCCTCCCCCGTCTGGCCCCACAAATGGTGGGCCTTGCCTACCTGGCCCTTCCTGCTTCCCCTGCCCATAATCAGTAAACAGATAGAATAGGTACTGAAGAATGGAGATGTCAAGACTTGGTTTGGCTGTTCTTTGCTGCTATTCAGAATAGAGTTCCCAACTCCAGGTTGGGAAATTCCTGGAGATTTGGGGTTAGAGCCTGAGGAGGGCAGAGTTTGGGGAAGGAAGGGAGCTCAAAAGTCCACCCTTCAAACCTGTCATTTTCTACAGGGGAACCAATCCCTGTAGTTTGAAGATCAGTTGTAATTTTGGGAGATCTCCAGGCCTCACCTTGAAGGCTGCTACCATACCTTGATAGGAAATCACCTTGAGCCCTGGTCATTCATTTACTCAGTTAGAAACTCAGGTGGTAACACTCAGGTATGCACTAGAATCCTGAAATTTGGTATGTGCATACTCCAAGACACCATGAATATAAAAAAGTCTGAATAGGGGTTAGTTTTACAAATAGCTTTTCAAACCATGGATTCTAATTATACCTATAGATGGTCAAGTTACTTCTGCCCAACCAGAATGCTGAAATTTGGCACATATACAGGCCAAGACAATTGTGTTTTTTTAAAAAAATGAAAAAAGACATTTGTATAAAAATGGCAGTGGGAAGGAAGTCTACCCCAAGTGTTATGTACGCGGACCGCCACTGGGGGTCCACAGCTACAGTAGAGAGCTTAGCTCCCCCAAACAATAGAAGTCTAGGATCCCAGTTCCCCCCAGCATTCACCAATAGCAACTTTGGCAGGAAATTCAAACCCTCCAATGGGACTGTGGGTGTGCTGGATGGGTGTGTATATAGTTGGCCTTGCAGGGCCGTTCGGCAGTTCCTGTGTGAAGTACAATAAATTCGTCTTAACGCACATCATGGTCCAAGTCTTCCATGTGTCGAACCCAGTACTTTACAATCAGGGATGTCCCAGGTCCATTTGAGAGATGTATTCTGCAGCTCTGCGCTTCCCAAATACATGTGGGTTTGATTCAGATTGGGATTGTGGTATGTGAGGAATCTTCAGATCTTCTCCCATGCCATCTTCACAACCTGTGGGCTCCACATATATATTATCTCAAACAGGGAAAACAGCAGCTTCCCAAAGTCATTCCTATTCAGGAATTTGAAATTGGATTGAAAGTGCATTATTTCATGTATGTGAAAGTTCCAGTGTTGTTGAAGGAAGGTCTAAACCATAGAGTTGCCAACCTCCAGGCAGAGATTGGAGATGTCCCAGAATTACAGCTGATTTCCAGACTACAGTTCCCCTGGAGAAAATGGCTGCTTTTCAGAGTGGACTGTATGGCCTTATACTCCACTGATGTCTCTCTGCTCCTAAAATTTCACCCTCCTCAGAAGAAGAGGCTACTGAGTTGCAACTGACTCATGGTGACCCCATGCACAGGGTATTCTAGGCAATAGGAAAGCAGTGGTGGTTTGCCATTGTCTTTCTTTGCATAGCAACGCGGTATTTCTTGGTGGTCTTCCATCCAAGTACTGATCATGGCTGACCCTGCTTAGGATAGAATGTTACTGCCAAAGGCCTGCCTTGTTGTTTGGGGAAATTAGCTATGTGGCAGGGGAGACCAGAGAGGTACAGGAATTGCACACCAATTGTATACCAAGGTCCAGTACAATAGGAAGACTCCAGATTTAAAGAGTAAATTAAATAGATTTTGTTAAAGAATTTCCCTAATTACAAGCATACTAAGCATTCAAAAAGAGCAAGCTAATACAGAACTAAGAAAGCAGAGGTGATTGATAGTGAATAAAGGGGTCAGTTACGGGGGGATATGACCTGTTCAGATGTGCAAAAGTTCATAGAGATGGGATTATGACCCAAACAAAAGGACTGCCAGTTGGCATCAGGGCAGAGGCACATTCTGAGGCCATGTGCATGGACAGATATAGACATTAGAGAACAATGCTGATCAATGGGAGGTCTTGAAGGTCTTGCCCTAGGTGAAAACAAAAGATTACCTGGACCAATCATGGGTCCCAGGGGGTGCGGTTGTCAGGAGGTGCATGACCTAGCTGTGACCAATGACGTCTCAGAGGGGCAGAGTCTGGATTAACAATAGCTATACCGGGATTAGTCAGGTGTGGGGTGATTGGGCTGGAAGTGTCCATTAATGAACAGTAGGGTGGTCTGGCGTTTCCCTGGTGCCAGACAAAAGAAGTGATGTTTCTTAATATGCGGCAGGATGAACCTGAATGGGAGACCATTCACTAGACATGGAGAGTTAATGTTTACCTTGATAGGTCTGGTGTAGGTGTAAGAATGCAGATATTTTAGACAAATTCCAAAGGTATTTCCTGACATACAGGTGAACCAGAAGTTGGGGATGGAAACATGCACCATACTTCATTCATGACAATAGCACAGACCAGAGGCTCTTTGTCCCTGCCTGCCTGTACATTTGACAGACAAAAGACTTGCCATTTGGTCAGTAGAAGATGCTTGAGGTGAGAGCAGAGACTTGCCCATTCTAGTCCTTTTGGACTGAGCTTACAGGAGAAGGGGAGGTTGCTTGCATGGAGGATGTTTGGCAATGCATCCTGCCTGGGGAGTCTTCACTTGGCCTGAGTTTTCTCAGCCAAGATGTGATTCTCCTAGTGTCCCAGCAAAAGCCACTGTTTAATCCAAGCCTGGCTTTAGGAGGGCACTGCTTGTGGAGGTTCACAGGTTGTTTTGGGATGTCTCTGTCTCGAGAAAGACCACCCCGGGTTCAAGGCCCAGGGCACTGGTTACAACAAGCCCTGACTAGTGAAGGCTAAACTAGGCTATTCAGGCTGCTGACCTCCTCAGGTTTCCAGGAATTTCCCAACCTGGAGTTGGCAACCCTACTAAGCTACCTCTCCCCTCACATTGTGGTTTTGATCCGAATCAGGTTCGTGCATGCCAGAGAAGTGCAGAACTCAGGAATATTGCTCTTAACCTGACCAAAGGATGTCCCCAGGCAAAACGTTTAGACACGCCCTTAGTATTCTAAATGCCCCAAGTCATAATGTGACCTAGGAAATAGACATTCATATATTTAACAATCAACATTTAGGACATAGCCCTGACCTGGATAGCCCAGGCAAGCCCAATCTCATCAGATCTTGGAAGCTAAGCAGGATTAACTCTGGCATGTACTTGGATGGGAGACTTCCTCGGAATACCAGCAGTCGGGAGGCAGGCTTTATTCGGCCACCTCTCTGAATATCCTCCAGGTCCCCAGTATGGGTTGGTCACCAGAGTCACCATGACTTCCAGGGGCATACACAGTCACCAGAGGTCACCATGACTTTCATGTGCACACACACTTACACGCATGCGCGTGCACACAAATGCACATATGAAAAAAATACAAAAAAGGACATTAATTGTAGAAGGGCTGCATCCAGCTATTAATCCATTTCATTTTTCAAGCTGAAAATGGAGATGTTACTTAATATTTCCTCAAATGAATATTATTTACGAGAATTTTCCCATTCTGAATCTGTCTGTATTCACTGTTCCTCCTGTTAGCTGTTCCTTCAATGGTATTTTTATTCTTAACATTATGTTGTTATTCACTGCTTGGTTTAATTACATGGGTATTCACATACTGAATGATGTCATGGAACTATACACCTAAGATTTGGCTATGTGAGGCAAATGTAATCATTGAATGTGAAGGCACTTCCTGTACAAGTCACATGGATATGATGTTAACTTATTAGGGTTCATATAACAAATGGGACGACATCACAACCATGTTGCCAACTGGTTATACAAAATGCGGACGGCAAGCAAACCAAATCCAAGAAGCATTCCATTCAGACTGCATTGCTGAACACTTTTGACTTCTTTCAAAACAAACGCTGCTGGAATGGGGCAGTTCTGAACACTGCTGAAAATGTTTGCAAAATGTTATCTTTATAGTACTCCACTTTCAACACAGCTTTAAAGTTTACTTCATAGTGGAGGCTAGTGTTCCGGTCCAGAAGAACCCAAGCCATTCCAAGGATGGAATGTTTCTCTGAGAGAGTTCTATTTTTACTTTGTGTGCTTCAATCAGACTATGATTTTGGCGGGGAAACAATTTAAGTGTGGATGTTTTCAGAATGAGAATGCAGAAAAGCCCATAATCGCTTTCTGTCTGCGTGTATATATGTATGTGTGTAAAAGAGAAAGAGAGAGGCTGTATAAAGTAATGCTCTCTGTTTACTTTTTGAACATACTGCATATTTCCTAATATTTTTAATATTTTGTTTTATTTTGAAGTGACACCTGAAACTCATAAGCCAAAAGGTTGGTAACACTGTATATATTGTATCCTAAAATAAAATACATTGGATCCAATGATTCCCTTCATCTAAGTCTTTTTCTTTTGGAAAAGCTTATTCTTGTCTTACTGTATCAGAGGACGAATAACTCAAGCTGAGGAATTTTTCCTCCCACAATAAAAGCAAAGGAATAACTGGATAGAGTCCTGTAATATAATTTCCCCACAAATGTGTTAACCATTTTTTGCTCTATGCTAGAAAAAAAATAAATAGCAGTAATGTTGCCAGCGTATAATGCTGACAGTGACAATGATTTTACTAACCAGCCTCCTCCCTTTTTTGCAGTTTTTCAGTGTTTTTGAAATAATTTTTGCTTTATATGGATGTATATTTAATTAAATACATGTATATGTATCACTTTAAAAATGAAAAGACAGCCATGCTGAAGCATGGGAAAGGATAGATTACTGAATCAGTATTCAAGTTGATGGCCAATATGTCTGTCTGTCAGAATAGTTATAATGATGTGGGGAAAATGGGGAAAATGGTTCTGAAAAGCAAAATCTGTAGCAAGTCCTCATTAACTGAGCTCAAAACCATGAAAGCACAGGGATGTCTCATCTTCATCTGAGAATTACTTAAGTGGGAACAGAGGAATGATGGCATAACATCACTTCCAACAAAAACTTGAATGTGATGTCACCACATTGGTGTGATGTTCTAGGATACCTCCAAACTCTATGGTTTTCCTGTAGAGTATTGTGGAATCTTAGCCACAATCTGCAGCCTTCCTTCCTTCCTCTAGTGGTGCAAGTGGAAATTTTGCACTAAATCCAAGCCATTGTTTCCTGTTTCTAATGAAAACTTGAATGAATTGGCAAGAATTCTGAGGAGGAGGAATGTGGCAGGTCCAGGGTGGAGGCAGGAGGCCCCTTGCTTTGTGGGGACACTTGAATTTCCCAATCTAGGTCCATAAGGAGTCAGCCTGCCCACTCTAGATAAACAATTTCAGTTGGCTGTGAGGTATCTTTTCCTATAGTAATTTTTGTTTAATCAAATATTTTGTTTTACAGTAGAAATTCATAAATCAAGAGGTAGGTAAAGTAATTGTATGTGTATTTAAATGGAGCATTCGATGTCTCCTTCTTTTACTGTAACAGTTGTGCCAGCATGTAAATATATGATGAGTTTTTCACCCCTGTAAATATACAGGTACTCTTTCAGGAACCTTTATGTAAGGGTGTTACCATTTTTCCCCTGACTTCCTTGGCCCTCTTGCTAATGGATATCCCTTCCGTTCCCTTCCCTTCCCTTCCCTTCCCTTCCCTTCCCTTCCCTTGTGAGGAGACTGACTTTATCCAAGCCATGCAAACATATATGCAGCAGTAAACAAACACCCAGTCCAGGACTCAATGGAAAGACAGGAAGCTTTTCCATCTGTTTTAAATGCTTTTTAAAGTTTGAAATCTTTTAATATTTTGCTGTTGGCCACCTTTGGGACCCTGAATTGGGTGAAAAGGTGGCATAAAAATGCTTTGCATAAATAAATTCCATGCAGTATGTTGATCTCCATGCACATTTCTGGGTATGTATAAGGTGGTTCCTTCCTCTGAATGACTGGGTACTGCCTGCATTGAGAGACTCTGTGTGATCATTAGGCTATTGTCATTAAGCAGATTTACTTGCAAGTTTTATGTGAAACTAGTGGGACTTCCAAGTAAACAGATTAAGCAATAGCAGCATATTCTTTCTGTCAAGTGCCCCACTGTTTGGAAGACTGATTGATTCTAGTCTTGTTTCTAGAATGTGGGAAGCTGATTTTGCAAGGGGCAAAAGGGAGCACCCTCTTTAGCCTTCCAAATAATACTGTTTTTAAAACCTCATAAATAGAGTAGAAACAATGGTATGTAGTCTTCTTTGCGGTGGCCCTGCTCTCAGATGTACACATTTATGGACAGCATGAAATGACTGGAGCCTTTCAGCCAACTGTTAAGCATGGTATAAACAATTTCACAAGCACAACAAATAATTCAACATTGCATATACTGAACCACTGATTTAGAGGCATATCTCCAAGCAACCACAATTAAATTGCATCTTGTACATTTCTTTTTGAGTCATTGTTCATATTAATGCCACTCTGCACTTCACTTCCTTCCTCTAATGAGTTGTGGGTTAAGCTTAATTAGCAAGCAGCTTTATGTTTTTATATAAATTTCGTTGCCTTTCCTTTTTAACAAATTGGGGTTTTGTGGCATTTGCGTTTTTTGCTTATTTTAAGCACATTGCTGTATTCCTGCTTTGTGAAATGAACCCGCGTTTTTAAATTTTGAGAGATACATTTATACTGGGGAAAGACATTTTGTACTTCAGAATATTCTATTAATATCATGGGGGCTTTTGTAGGAGAAACTAGTCTTAAAATGACCTTGACATCTTGTGCCTTCTTTCTGTCTGTGTTATCCTGTGAATTTTACAGTTCCATATAAGTGCAGGATTGTCATCATGAACAAAATCACACAGAAAAATATTCTACACATATGTGTCTGTGTTGATTATTTTTGCAGGGTCTGATCTGTGTATTTATCATGTATCATTTCATTTACAATTCTGATTTTGATTTTTCAGAAGCTGAACGAGCTAAACAAGAACCTACTACACATCTGACTAAAAAAGGTAAAAACATTTTCAATGCTTTTTCAGTTAAAAATTTAAAATCACTCTTCAATTATTTACCTTCTTCCCTCCCATTCTTTGCTTCTTTTGTCATGAAGACAGGATTGCAGGACTTTTCAGCTTTGCCTAGAAATGCCCCAGACCAGCCACTTTTCTGTAAACAGAAAAAACCTTAATGACTGTGGATTTTATTCACTGCATTTGATTAATTGGGCTCAGTCTCTCAAAAACTTTTGGTACTATAACAGTATATACACCCTTCTAAACCCATTTAAATCAATGGGTTTAGAAGGGTGTAACTCTGCTTAGGATTGCAATGGTAATATGTTAGTCTTTATAATGCTGTAGGTTCTTTGTTTTTGTTGTAAACTTACACAGCTACCCCACTGCAATGTACAAAAAATTCTGTCTCAGGGAATAATATAGAGTTTACAAAGTGAAATTTGTGTGAGAGAAATCCAGGTTCATGTCCCTGACCAACTCTGAAACTTGAATCTGCCACTGTTTATCAGCCAAAAATTACCTCAAACAGGTTATGAGGAGAAAATGGGATAGCCCAATATATGTTGCTTTGCGCTCCTAGGAGAAAGGCTGAAAGATAAATGGGAGGCATGATTTTCAAAATCTAAACATTAACTGATATAAAATGGTAATGCATGGTGTTCAATTGATTTTTTCTCTTAAGTGCTCAAATTTTGCATATATTTACCAATATTTATTATAATACTATATCTGCTAACATGTTGTGATGGACTGCACTTTTTAAGAAGCTTAGATGTGTTGTACAAACAGATAAAGGAGTATGAAGGGTTAATTCTTCACAGAGCCAGAGAGCCTTCAGTGACAGGCTGCTCCAAGCAATCTGATTGGTTAGCATCAGCTGAGCAAAGAAATACTTCTGAACTGGATGCTGAGAAGAGTTGAGTAGTGACAGTTTTTGAATTCAGCCATGACTAGGGTTCCCAAGTACTTACCATGATCCAGCGGGGGAAACATGCTTCCCGGTGGGACCATTCCTCCCTGTAACACACCATGCCGTCGCCAGGAAGTGACGCTTCCAGCCCCATTGCCAGAGCGTCGCCCAGCATCACTTCCTGGTGACGGCATGGTGCGGCACATCTGTTGTCCCAACAGGAATGATCCTGCGAGGACGTCTGTGTCCCCCGCTGAATCACGGTAAGTACTTGGGAAGCCTGGCCCTGACAGAGAGTTTAACACAGACAGGAGAACTGGGAGAAAGTAGGCAAGGAAATTTGAGAAGTAGGCAAGGGCTCCCATTTTGGGCCAAGGAAATAGATCTTATAGTGAGAGGAGAATTTCCCTACCCAAACAGGGAGTTAGCTCTGAAGAGTGAAGAGATCCCTCGTCTGGTGTGGTTAGAAACTGCAAGTCAGTTAAAAACTCAAGGAGAGTACCGGTGTTTCAAGAGAAGGGGTTTGGGTACTGGAAATTGGCTCAAGTGTATCAGTCTTCTGGAAATCAAAAAAGTTACAGAATACTCAAAGAAAGTGTACTAGAGTGTTTGGGGAAAACAGTGGAACAAAAGCCTCTCAACATAAAGATTTAAGTCACTGTGAAAAGCTTAAGAAACTTTTATTAGCTGGAAACATAAGAACTAAAGTCCATACATATACTGGTTTTACCTCAGATATTTCAACCCCTGATTTCACCTGACCTTTCCCCTCTATGTTGAATAAAATATTTTGTTAATTTGGAAATATTTTTTTAAAGTCTCTTGAGTGCCATTAAAGTTAAAGGGGGCTCTTGATTCTTTCCTCAACTTTCTGGGCTGAGCCAATAGCCAAAATATCATACTGTGACATGGTGGGACAGCCAGAGTTCTTCAGCAAAGAAGAAAACACATTACTAGGGTGGATCAGTCAGTAAAAGAAAAGAAAAACGGAGGGAAAATCTTGCCTCTGAGGGAGGGAAGTGGATGGGGCCATCATACATGTAATTATACAATGACACAACTAATTTTACCAGTGATTTAGAATCCACCTTGCTACATGGATCACTAGGATCCAAATGTTACCAGGGCTGTATGGTATAGAGTAGCAACCATACTACTCCAGTTCCTCTAAGTTCCTTGGTGGAAAACATAGGTTTTCTGCTGCATCATGTCTGAAACATGTTTTATGTCAGTGAATATTAAGCACACGCTAGACAGCTTATACCCCATAAATCTACTCACTGGTATATCAAGGGCGGGGCGGGGGGGTCACTCCACTCTGGGTGTAGATTTAGGAAGGCCCTTTAAGGAGGGTCCTTGAAGCCAGGGTCATGCTGCATCTAGCAGAATGTCTTTCCTTTTATTTATAAAGTGCAGTTCTAGCTGCCGCCACTAGGGGTGCAGGGAAGTCTGAGCATAACAAAAAGCACTCTAGGATCAACTAGACGTCCCTTTCTCCAAGACTGAAGTAAACTTCCTTAAAAGATCATACAACCATGCCAGCACACTGATAGCTGCTCCAGTAATTGCAGCCTGCAGGTCTTTTTCTTAATAGTCTAGCCTTTCTTTGTTTCCTTGCACCCAGCTCAGCTAGTTCTTGCAAAGCAGTACTTAGGGTGCTACAGAAAGATAAAACAACCTTTCCCTCTCTTAATTCCTCTCCCTCTTTTCCACATGTTTCTCATTCATTTCTGTCTCCCTTCACCTAATTTTTCAATGCCCCCCCTTTATTTCACTTCTTGGTCTCAAGACCTTCTCATCCATACCCTGCTTGGTGACAGAATGTATTTAAGAGTAGTATAGTAGCAAACCTTTGTCAATATTATGAACAGAAGGCACTGGGTTTGCTGGGCACTGTACATTGCAGTGGTTCTGCTGGGCTTCCACACACACACACCCCACTTGGGCTGTGCTTCTGTGTTCAACATCAGCTGACATTGCCACAGTGGCACTAGGTTTGCTGGGCACTGTACGTTGCACTGGTTCTGCTGCATTTCCATCCCCACCCCCCATGTTTGGACTGTAATTCTGTTCTTGACATCAGCTGACATTTCCACAATGGCACTGGGTTTGCTGGGTTCCTCTAGGCTTTCAAAAATACCCCCCCTTCAGTTTCTACTGCACAGATTCTCTGGTTTGGCTGTAGTCCTTTGGAAACAATAGAGGATGGGAGCACCTTCTCTGGGGGGTAGTGCATTTCTTAACATCCAGTCTGGTGAAGCTTGTGATCTATTTTGTGATGCTTTGGCTAGTGTTAGTTTGTAAAGGTTAGTACAAAGGCAAACTCCTCACTCAAAAATGCCTTATAGATGTTTGGGGTGATCAGCTCCTGGGCTGAGAGAGAGAGAGAGAGAGAACGTGTTCCAAAGTACCTATGATTTATTGGTAGAAAACCATACTGCACAAATTTTCAAGCAAGTAGCAATTTCAGTATTTATCTTACAGAAGGGGAAAGACAAACCAATACTTATAAACAAATAGTGCACTTATTATTCATTTAGGAATTACAACTGTTATGTATTGGGCTGGAATCTCCCAGGTCTGTCCATAGAGTTGGAACAATAGACCACCAGGATTCTAGAGGTAACCATTGAGAAGACAATGTTATGCAAATAGAGGTAACCAATTAGGAGACAATGTTATGTAAATAGCCTATCCTTGGGAGTGGGGTGTGTTCGGGTGTGGGTTTTGCATGCTACTTAAACAAGGCAGTTGCCCTGCATTCTTCAGTCTTGTTCCTGAAATTACTAAATAAAGCAGAACTGTTCACTGCAGTGCGTCTTGAACCCAGCATTTAACAACAACAACAATAACCTTTATTGGCACAACTCATTTAGGAATTATTATTATGTATTATGCATTCTGGCTGCTTTGGCAAGACCTAACCACAGTGTTGGCAGAGGGGTCTTAGCATCTCAAACACTGGTGTTAAACACCTTTAGAATCCAGATTAGCTGTCAATCAAGAAACTGGATGATTCTGACAAAACCCAGATCCTTCCCTTTTCTTACCAAAAGACTCTGACCAGAGTCATTGTATTACCAGGTTCAAAACACCCTCTTTGTCAAGATAGGAGCTTGGAGTCACAGGTCCTCATATCTAGATGTTTTGGATTCAAGGCTAGAACTCAGAAATGTAAACAGTTCTTTTAGAGCAGAGTGCAGGGTGAACAGCCTCCTGCAAAGTCTTATGGGAGAGAACCAAACAGAGAGGCCTATGCCAGTTCAGGCTGCTGCACAGATCTTCCCCATCTCATAATTCTGCCACACAGAACATTTTACAATATCTATCGCAAAGCTCAGTCAAATCATTATCATGATAATGCTTCACTTTAGTTTATTGTAATTAGCCATTGGCCGTTACAAAATTACAATCATGATAATGGCATCTGTTTTCAAAAAAGCAGTAGCCTTTTAGTTCTTTGAGACAGCTTTTGCTTGTATGAACCATCTCTTCTTGTGAATGGAAGTGTTAGAAAATCCTTACCTATGTTTTGCAGCTGTACATGACAAGAAAGAAGATAGACCATTGAAGGCAGTGGAGCAAGGTAAAAAGAAACTGAGTGAAGTTGATATTATCTGAGAAGGGTGCCAGAGAGATGAGTAACATCATGTTCAAAAATTCAGACAGTCTTGAATTTGTTACTATAGTTCTATTAGTTATCTTTTCTGTTTATCATATCTGATGGAATTTAGTATATATGTGCCAATGTAACCATGCAGAGATACAAAGTAATCACTTCTCTAATCTTTAGTTTACTTGCTACATGATCATCATTAGCGATAAGGGGATTCCTCCATTACCATCCCAACTAGGATTTGTTTCATCTTCAATTCAGGGGTTTCACATCAGTGATCTTCCATCAAATTTAATGGAATGAAACAGAAAAAAAGGCTCCTTCCTGTTTTCCCTATGTCTACAGAGACCTTAGACAAAGAGGAAACAATTTAAGCACCACGGCTGCAGACTCCTAGGACCAGATCATCAGGGATCTTGGGAAATGTGCATTCGTGTGCTACAACATAAAAATAACAGAACAACAGAAGAAAACTCATCCTTCATTTGCCAAAAATATTTTCAAAGCGTTCACCTTTTTTGACACAGCAACCCTTGTTGCCTGCTGTTACTTTGAGCAGCACTTGGAGAAATGTTTAAAATGTTGGAGTTGTGTACAGTGTGATGTCACTTCCAGGAAAAAAAACCCCTGGAAGTAACATCACATAGTCTTGGGACTGCCAGAAACTCTATGGTTTTACCAACAAGTTTCTAGAGATTCCTAGTGTCATCACTTTCCCCCCTAGAAGTGACATCATGGTGTACTTGATGCAGGTGCCCCATGTCCCTGCCCCCTGAGTTCCCACTGGTTCCAGAGAAGAAAGGGAGGGAAATGGGTAGCCACCAGCAATGTCACACCTCTCTAGGAATTTATTTATTTATTTATAAATTCAATTTATAGCCCTCCCTCCCCACAATGCGGGCTCAGGGCGGCTCACAATCAGGCATAAGCCAGCGCATAAAACACATCTAAAACCATTTAAAAACCATTTCTGCAATATTACAACATTATTATTAAGTGCTCTGGAATCACCAGCAATTCATAAAGAGGTGTGATGTCATTTCAGGGAATACCTGGAATTGCCATCACACCATTTTGATAGCCTTTTAAAAAATTCTCTTGTTGGCAATGCCTGCTGGGGGCAGGAGTTTTTCAGCCCCCAGGAGGCATATGGCAGCCATACTGATAACTTCTGAGCCCAGCATCCCAGTGGATTCTTTGCAGCAACTGACAGCAGAAATAAAATAATTTTATAGAAGTAACTTGGTCTTGCCCTGACCTGGCTAGCCTGGGCTAGCCTGATCTCATCAGATCTCAGAAGCTAAGAAGACAATTAGTACTTGGATGGGAGACCAGCAAGGAAGTCCAGGGTTGCTGTGCAGAGGAAGGCAATGGCAAACCACCTCTGAAGTCTCTTGCCTTGAAAACCCCATGAGAGGTTGCCCTAAGTCTGCTGCGACTTGACAGCACTTTACACATACACAGACCTTGGTCTTCTGTTCATAACATTATGTTTGTCATATACAACCGCAGTCATTTCAGTGAGACATCTTGATGTTGCATGCTGGTAATGTTTGGCAGGATTATTCTCCTGTTTCATAGAGTGCCACTGTATCCACTGATTGGCCAAGAAATACTTATTGAACTTTGCTGTGTGTTGTAGAGTGAAGAATGATTATGCATCATTATTTTGCAGTTCCTGTTATCTGGATATCTAAATAAGTGCTTCTTAGCTTTTTTTAATTTCAACCTATGATACCCATGGCATACTGTTCCTGAAGAAAACGTTTATAAAATGAATTGATTTTTTGATGAATTGATGTCTTTTTCAGAAAAACCGAAACCTAAAGAAGCAAGTAAGCTGTATTACATTATCTATAATTTTTGTATGTATAGTATACTTTACACTTTTATCGTATTTGTTCACATTTCTTACTTTAAGATGCATTGAAATCAATACACACAACCTCCCCACACCCCACCCTTGTGTTAGGCCAATATATTAATTTTTTTAAATACCCTGTTATTTCAATGAGCTATAGTAAGTTGTGATCCGAATGTTACAAAAACAAGAAATGCTGCCAAAATTTGAAAGCATGTGATTGCCAACCATTTCAACTTTTGAGAAAAGTGTAAGAATAACAAACCAATATAGCAACTACTACAGCAAACAATAGACCCATCATACAACAAACCTACTTCGCCACATAGGAACATAAAAAATACATATCAGTACTCTTCTACAACACTCCAAAATGAACTGGAAAGCATAAAGGGAGGAAATCCATGTAAGTCATCCTCTCAACAAATTCAAACACAACCCATGAATTAAAACCCCCAAAGAACAACATATAAAGTATGGTAGAAAAACTATAGGTAATTGTGTTCACACTGTAATTTATAAGGCATAGTACTTCTGTTTTGTAATATCTGGATGAAGGCTTCAGTGTGTTAATTGTCTCATATATTTTCTATTATATGTTTATCTCTATATCTCTACTAGAAATAAGGCTCGTTGTGGAAATAAATACAACAAGCTCTAGAAAGTGGCTCTTGGAGAGTGCCAAGGCATTGGGCACTCAGCGTCAATGTGCCGTGGCAACCTCAGCAGGGTATAATGACACAGAGTCCACCATTTTCTCCAGAGGAACTGATTTCTGCTACTTGAAGAGCAGTTGTAATTTTCAGTGATCTCCAGCCGTCACCTGGAGATTGGCAACGATTGTTACTCAGGAGGAAATGGCTGGTTTGGAGGGTGGAGTCTATGGCATTGTACCTGTCTGAGGTCCCACCCCTCCTCAAACCTCACCCTCTCCAGGCTCCACCCCCCAAATCTCCATGAATTTCCCAACCTGGAGTTGGCAACCCTATCTCCTTCCCAGCCAACCATCAACCTGCTATTATCTGCCCCTCTGATTTCAGCTTTGCATCTCCCCCCCCCCCTTCCTGGAGATCAGTTGTAATTCTGAGTGATTTCCACTCCTCTCCTGAGATTGGAAACAGTGGTTCCCCGGAAGGGAATGGCTGGTTGGGAGGATGAAGTCTATGGCATTGTACCTTTCTGAGGTCCCACCCCTCCTCAAACTTCACCCTCTCCAGGTTCCATCCCTCAAATCTCCAGGAATTTCCCACCT